GTAATTAATCATAAAAATAACTCCTTTTAACATTATTTCCAAATTATTCCTGAGAAACAGATTTGAAACAGCTGTACCAATTCAATACACATTCTTTGTGGGTTTAGTTTTGGCAGCCAAAATTTTATAATGTGGTATTTATTTAAACTCAGGACATGATGAGAGTTTTATTGTCTTTGTGAAATGCAGATTTGTTCTTGTACTTTTGTGCCACCTACTCATGCTCCTCCCTCACTTTCCCTGTCCTGCCCACCTCTTGCCTTCAACCACACAAGCCTAGACACAACCTCTCTCTGGTTAATCACCCCATCTGAACTCGAGTCTCTTGCTGCTCCTCTCCATTTAGAATACATCCCTCTTGGAGGATGCCTGAGTTAAATTAATAAAACTCTACCTTCCCCATATACGTACCCCTTTCTGACTTAGTAAATACATTATCTTCTCTTTCCATTGGTACTTGTATACCTGGATAATAATGCACTTTAAAACATTACCTAATGCCCTAGTTTATCCCTGTCTTTGCCTTGACGTAAGTGTCCTTGCTAATGTTGTCCCTTAAAAAGTCTAATTCCCCCAAAGCAGAGAATAATTTATTTAACCAATCCATGAAAGCACTCCCCCTGCAGACCTATTGAGTAAATAATAGCTAAAGGCTAGAATTAACCAAAACAAAACCAAAAGTCCTCACTGTCATCAAGACGATGCCAAATCATGACAACCCTATCAGCCAAGGTAGAACTAACTGTCCCTGCAGATTTCCAAGACTGTAACTCTTTAGAGGAGTAGAAAGCCCCGTCTCTCTCCCATGGAGAAGCTAGTGGTTTTGAACTGTGGATCTTGCTGTTAGCAGCCCAATTTGGAACACTATGCCACGAGAACTCCTTTTAAAGGTCAGAATACATCCACATAATTATACTGTTCCCAGTCTGCACTGAATTATGAGTGTTTTCTTAAGGAACAAATGTTAATGACACCCCAAAAAATGTTTCTTGTGAACTAAACTCTACATATAAAAACTAAATTTATCCTTTGCGTAAAATTATAAAACCTCCTGTTCTGACAAAATGTCAACTCCAAAGTACACTCTTACTGGTGACAATGTAATCACTTTGCAATTGAAAAAAATATATAATTTTTCGAAATAAAGTGATACAGCCAATAGGATAATCTTTAACATTTTCCCTTACAACGTATACTTGTAAATTCCTGCCCAAAAGTTAATCTTTCAAGTCCATTTATCTCAAAATGTTGATGTTTTTCTTTGTCTAATTAAGATGAATTTTAATCTCAGCTCTGAGCCTTAGATGGGGAAGGAGAGAAGCATCGTACCTACCACAGCACTTTTTACATTTCGACTGAATAGACCTTATTCCATCACTGCATTTCCTCTATTACAGGGTTCTATTCAAAACATTGGTTTTATCTATGTTTTTTATACCTAAAACAGTGTATTACAGTTCCTATCCTCAAGATGGCCGAGTCATCTCAGGGCAGAAATGAGAAGTCAGGGAATGTTTCTTGAAGAAAACCGATAGAAAATGGTTTATAGAAAACAAGACAGGAAGGGGTAAAGCGGTTGAATGTCAGATGATTTGAGAATAGACTGTTGTAAAGATTCAGATCATTTTAATAATGGTAATAGTGTAAAATTGGTTTGAGCTAGTCATAAACACTGTGAGAACACTAGCAAAAAAGGAGGCCTGTTGGTTGACTCTGAAAATAATACCTAATCACTATTTGACTCAGAAAAGAAAATACTCACTGGAAGGATGTCATAGAGGAAGCCTGGTCCTGGAAAATAAATTTAGCTTTGTCATGAGGATATTTGGAATGAGCCTGAATTGAGACAGGTGTAAGAAAAAAGTTACAATTATTTGGCATAAGAAAGACAAGGAAAATTAATAATAAAATAAGTAGAGACCCTAAAGTGTCCAGACGGTTTTGTTATATTTCACTTGGGAAAAAAAGTAGAAAATAATTGGTGACTCACACAATTGCAGATTATGAAATATGAACTATTTCCAGGTCCTGCAAGTGAACACATAGGAGCTAAGAAAATAAAATGTCATATAGATTACTAGACCACACAAAAATAAGAAACAGTTATTGACCTACTTTTCTGTCACTTTTTCCAATATCTGAGTTGCTTTTATTTACTTTGAGAAGGGTTGTCAAACTACATGAGAACTGAATGCAATTTCCAAGTGTAGACTACTGGTGTCAAGATGCTAAAATTATGTGTATTTAATTTTCTCCAAAATTTGTACAAAATTAATTTTTTTAATTCTGAAAATCTGTGAGATATTGGAAAATAACCTGAAGTACTATCAGAATAGTCAAGAATCTGCCTGTTTATCTGACTTTTGAGGAGTTCATATACTTACTAGTACTGACACTGCTATTGTGTCACAGCAAATATACTCCAAAACCAAAGATTCCAAATTCATGGTAAAGGAACATGGTAGAGAGGGAAAAAATATCTGAGGTAATGGTGTAAGTTACACGCTGAGGAAATGTTCCATAGTTTTAAAAGCTTATTTCCCCCAATCTCTTCAATCCAATTCATATGTCTTATGGAAATTCCAGCAGTAAGTAGTTTGGGGCTTGTAATATCCCAATAATAGTACTAGTTATTCTCTTTCAGTTACATTACATGCACAAAGACATGGAAATTGTATCTTGGTTACCCCGGGATTTGTTCAAACACCTCACAAAATGCTTCATCAGCAAGTATGAAAACAAGCTAATCAACTTAAATAAAACAACCACTTAGAATCACAGCTAAAGATGTTAGCCCAGCTTCAAAGAAGCTACATTTTTGGATGGAGAGAATTTAAAATAACTAGTGGACTGGAAAATTAAGAATGTGGGTCAAAACGTGTTCCACTAGGTTCAGTCCACCTACATTGCTGAGAGAGGGGAAAGTACAGAGGTAACTGGGTTGGGGGGTAGGAGGTGAAGAAGATGGAGTTATACAGTGCTCATCAGGGAGCATTCTGGGAATTGTTGAGAAGTAGGTAATCTCGGAAGGTAATTTGACACCCAGGAAGCCATATAGATCGTTTTTTTGAGTATTTCAGCAATTGACTGACACTAAAGTAACCTTTTAGATAAATTCAGAGAAATGGCTGTTAGGGATTGAATTGTGTTCCCCCCAAATGCGTTGTGAATTCTAACCTAGAGTTATAATCCCATTAGGGAACTGGGTCATCTTTGTTATGTTAATGAGACTGTATAGTTAAGGGTGGGTCTTAAATCAACTGCTTTTGAGCTATGAAAGAGCTAAAACAAGCAAGGGAAAGTGGAGATGGAGAAAGACACCAAATCTCATGCAGGACCTTTCTGAGCCAACAGAAAGAGAAAGCTCCCTTAGAGCCTGCACCCTGAATTTTGCCCTCTAGCCGCTCAAACTGTGAAAAAATAGATTTTTGTTTATTAAAGTCATCCACTTGTGGTGTTGTTGTTACAGTAGCCCTAGATAATATAGAGAGATTTTAATTAAGCAGCTCACTTCCTGCATATGCCTTAGCCCTTTCTTCCCTGCCGGATTAATCGAAATGACAGCTGTTTGACTGTATCTGAAAATCTAGAGTAGGTGGGTGGGGGTGGGAGGGAATCATTGGGAATCTAGGAAAGCCGTTATTTCATAGGCAAGTATGGAAAATGAAGAAACAGAAAAAGATGAGCCGCTGCAGGACTTTGTCTTAGTCATCTTTATAACCCCCATAGCACCCTAGCACAATGCACCACACACAGGGGGGCAGTCGATAAATAATGAATTTGCTTCAATTCTATTCACTCACATTTGTACTGTGCTTTGCAATTGCAAAGTACTTGCCACCTATTAGAAAAGAAAACCCAAAATGAATGGGAGGGGGGCAAGTCAGGGGATAAAAGAAAGGCAAAATGAATCAAGAAAGATATACAAGGATAAGCAATGAGGCTGAAAATAAATTGGGGAGAAGGCAGGGGAAAATAGCTTCTCCCTTTCTGTCACCATCCCTTCTAATCACCAACCTTCCTTCTAAAGACCCCAGGGGAGCTTAGAAAGTCTGATTGTTCCGCAAGCCCCAAGAAGAGGGCTCCCTCATCTTCCCAAAGGGCATTTCCCAATATCAGAAGCCTTCTGTCCCTGACTCATCTACCTGGAGTTGGTACCAAGACCAGGCACCAGCAGAGCACTAATAACCCCCACGTGTGGCCTGGGAACCCTGATCCGTCTGATCCAACCCTTCTGAGCATCCCCCAAATCCATAGGGTGGAGTTTGACCTAGGGATGAAAGGTGGAAGGAGGGGGGTGGTCTTAATGGTACAGGAGCGGGTGGGGGAGTCCCTCCACAAGCCCCTTAACTCAGACAACAGAGGGAGATAGTGAGGCAGGAAAGCCCAGGGATAGAGAGAAAAAGCCCACGTTTTCGACCAGGAGGGCGAGCTTCACGGTGGCTATTCGAAATTGCCAGGTTAGGGAAATGGAGACGGGGGAGAGACGCGGAGCGCCTTTCTGGACCCGTGGCGGCCCCCAGCCGGCCGGCCTTAGCAGCTGCGGGGCCCGGACTGCGCAGGAGGAGAGGTCCCGGGGGAGGCAGACTGGCCTCTCCCAAAGCGGCAGCGCCGCCCCGCAGCCTCCGCAGCCCGGGCGGCAGCGGGCGGGTCAGCCCCAGAACAAGATGGGGGCGGCCGCCTGCTGACCTCATTAGGGGAGCGGAAAAGTTGCGAGGAGAGTTGGCGCCAGAGCAGGCACCTGGGCAGGGACGGCCACGGAGGGGGCGTCAGGTTTCGCGGGAACAAAGGGGTCCGGGAAGCGAGGCTCGCGGGAGAGCAGGACCGCGGTGGGGGGGCTCCTCCCAGCAATGGGGTCGGGTGGGCTGGGGGTGGGAAGCCGGGTCGCCTAGCCCTCGTGGCCCAGGGAGTGAATCCCGCCATCCAGCCTCCAGCGGGGTCCCGATCTCCCCGCCCCTCCTAGCCCCCGGGCCTCGTGGGTCCCGGCCCGCGGACCTTACCTTTCATCCAGTCCACCACTTGACTTGGAGACCATTTGCTCACTGGTTCCATGATCAGAGCCATGGGGGCGGGTTCGGGTCCGTGCGGGGCGCGGGGCTCCGCCACAAAACGAACTCCGCAGCCCGGGCGCCCGCAGGTGGGCTCCCCCGGCCGGCCGCTGCCTCGCGGGGAGGGCGGTGCACAGACGGTGGCTTTTGTGCGTCCGGGCTCGCGGCTGTCAAGACTCTCGGAATGAGCTGGGGAGCTGCCTGCGGTGGGCACCGCAGGAGGGAGGGGAGTGCGCGGGGTTCGCGGCTCCACGCCGGGGAGGCTCAGGCGGCGGCGGCGGCGAGGGCTGCTGCTTGCCTCTGCGGCTCCGCTCCGGTCGCCTTCCCTCCGCGCCTTCAGTTCATGACTTGCCCGGCCCCGGGGTCGCGGCGCCGGGGGGAACGAGCCACCGCCGCTCGCCCGCAGCCAACTTGCCCCGCTCGCCTCGCGCGCGGGAGTGAAGCCCCCAGCACGACACGCTGCCCGGCGGAAATGACGAGGGGCCTCCTGCCACCCAAAATATCTCGCTGC